GGGTGGTATGTCTGTTACGGGTGAGTCCTTTTTTTTACAGATTATGGATTGAGATTCGATCCGGAACTTGTTAGAAATGGAGGCCAACTCCACTGCACTCGATCTCCCTAGGTCACGTCTCCTTGGTGGTTGAACATCGTTGATAAGTTAATGCATTCGACTGGAGAGAATCGCCCATGAAATATGCTTCCACCTGAGAGTTCCTAATACCTGACATCTTCAAGTGGTGGAATTTTTTATTATTATTGTATGATTATTGCACTGCACGGAAAAGGTCTGCATTAAGCGGGATTTAGATAAGGCAGATGAGTTGAATTCAACTCAAACCGATCTGGTCGTAGGCGTCCAACTGACTTGGCAACGAATAGAGCAAGTCCGATATCGGTCAGATTTCTGGACGTTCATTTCGCAGTTCAAGTGAGTTGAACGCTGAATTGAACCATCTTAACCCAGCTTTAGAGAGGGTCTTTTTTTAGCCAAACGAACTGTCAAAGCCAGAGCCATACGAGCAGCGCCTATATTGATTACATTGGCAGTGTTGCTGACCCTCTCATAGTCTGCATGCTTCAATCAGATTTATTTTTACTGTTCGTGAAGTAACCCACAATGAAAACACACCAATATTTAATGTAACAACAATTTTTATTGTAATAGATTTGTTCATTATTGTTCATGATTTATTTATTTATTTCGTCAACCAACGTAGACTAGTACAACTAATACAGTTTGTTTTCTTAAATATATATTTATCTGAATTTATACCGAATCATGTTAACAATAAAATAAATGAAAAATACGATAAAAATCATTGTAACAACATTTTATTATGTACATTCATTGTACATCTAGGTACCAGTTTTGCCGTTTTCGGAAGAGTACAACATTATAACAATCATTTTTATTGTCGACAATAAATATTAATGTTAGAGCATTGTTTCCACTGAAAATTTCACTTTTTTTTTTTTTCGGGGAGGCTTATTAGCCATATGGAAAATTCGATGACAAACGCAATTTCTGGGAGGGAGTACTTGCGAATTTGGTGAGTTTCTCGAGCTGTGGATCGGTAAGAAATAATCATCATAGAAATTTATACGTTGGGAAGGCTTTTTGACTGCTATTCATACTTAATATAAAGTTTAAACTATGATAGTGTAAAATTTAATCTAAGGAGCGTATACAAGCGATTTATTTGAAAAATGTTTATTTTTAGTCTAACAATGAATTGGGTTGTTTAGGGGTATTGAGGTAAATACATATTCGTAATCTGCATTAAAAATTAAACCGAAATTCAAAATTTCATCAATTTTGGTACACCTGAACTATTTTAAATAAGTACGATTACATTAGCAAAAATCACCATCTTAGCGCCCCTTGGTGGGACTTTGTATGGGAGCAAGCTGTCAACGAATAGATTTAGTGTCAACAATCAAAAATTTAAATCTTGATTTAAAAATCGAGATGATTGTCTACGGGATCGATAAAAATATCGTTGTTCTCAGAAAACAAAACTCTATCAGATGATGTATAAAAATCGGTATATTTTTCGAAGTTAAACAACCTAATTGTAAGTGTTCACACAAAAACTGTAGGATGCATCCAAGGGGGTTCCCAACATGTTTTATGTGACCAGTAGCCTAAGATTTCTTTTGATTTCGCACAGTAATCATGTGATCATAAGTAATCAAGGTAATCAGAAGTAATCACAAGTTATCATAAATAACAGGAGAAATCATGAGTAATTCATTGGAATCATCAAGTAATCATGAATCTGTTATCTTAGTAATCACTGAGTAATCAGAGTACCCTAATAAAATGTTATGGCTAATTTGCTTAACGACGTGTTCGGGGTATCATCCAAACCATTTGAGTAATAGTTCAATAGTTTGGGTTATCGTTCGTTTATGGTATTTTTTATAAGTGTAATTGGGTTGTTTAACTTCGAAAAATATACTGATTTTTATACATCATCTAATAGAGTTTAGTTTTCTGAGAACAACGATATTTTTATCGATCCCGTAGACAATCATCTCGATTTTTAAAGCAAGATTTACATTTTTGATCGTTGACACCATGGTGGGTATATAAATGGTGATACAGCTTTGTCACTATACAGGCGAGGAGGTCGCGGGGGGGGGCGGGTTTGTGCGGTTTTAGAGCAAATTGTAAACAAACTCGGTCGCTGTCCCATACAAAAATCCAACAAGGCTGAATCATGAATTTGACACATTAGAACACCTATATGTAGTCACCTTGGTTGACACTAAATCTATTCGTTGACAGCTTGCTCCTAAAGAGTCTAAATTTATTTAAATTCAGGCTCTTTACTTGCTCCCATTATCTAGAAATGAACTAGCCTAAGGCTAAAAATCTCTTAAATAAAGAATTAAAAAAAAAACAAAAAACTTGCTCCCATGTACAAAGTCCCACCAAGGGGCGCTAAGATGGTGGTTTTTTCCTAATGTAATCGTACTTATTTAAAATAGTTCTAGAATTTCGGTTTCATTTTTAATGCAGATAACGAATATGTATTTACCTCAATACCCCTAAACAACCCAATTTTGATGGTAGTGACAATTAATCGATGTTGTTGGACACCTGTTGAGTCACAATATATTACAAGAAGCAAGGGATTTCCAACGTGTTTTTACGTGACGAGTAATCTAAGATTACTTTTGATTTAGATGATCTTTGTAATCACTGAGTAATCAGAATAATTTTGAAGGTAGTGACAAGACTTACTTATAGCGAATTCGTTTATTATCGGGGTTAACACCAGTTCCAACCCAGTGCGAAACCGAACTTTTTGTCAGTGTGAACCTCAACCTGAGCTAGGTTTTAAAAACAAACGAGCAAACTGGCGTTTGTCAGAAAACAAGCAGACCCAATCTTGATACCCGATCCAGGTTGATACTTAAGTGATCAATCTTTTTGGAAACCCTTGCAAGGTGTTTCGCGAAAACCCATTATGGGTATAAAAACACCCATTTTCACTAAAAGTGCCCCTCCTCATTTAATGGGTAAACAATGGTTTACTCATTAATGGGTAAATGCGAGGGGGACGACTCTATCTACGATGCAGGAAAGATTGTGGTTTGCTCAAGGGGGGGAGGTGATTGTCAAATACGAACAATCTTCGCCTACCTCGCATAACCTGGGACGGGACTTGACAATCGGGTAGCGATTTCGAGCCAATTTGCTGTCAAATTCGAGCCAGTTGCTGATTGGTCGATTTGACAGTAGAAATCGTGGAATAAAAAGGATAGAGGGATCGCATCAATCTGACTGGCAGTGATGCCGGAACCAATGGTGACGTCAATGGCGTTGTTAATAGTTTATATTTGCGAAAGGAAAGTTGGAAAATAGGGTCCACGGCGTGTTTTAAGAGATGGATATTATTGTTTGTTTATGGTTGTTTTTATTGTGTTAAGCAAAAATGATGACAAGGTGCTAAACTGCGGTAGAAACTCCGAATCAAATTAAAATTAAAATAGAAAAATCAGTTTGCAATCCTGGCATCATTGGTCAAATCCGTCAAACACCATGTACTAATTTTCGACGGGCATTCATCAAAAACATTAAGAAGAGTGAGAAGCTGGATTGTCAAGTCCCGTCCCGGCGCATAACTGGTTCCAAACGTAAACAAGCCATAAGAAACCTACAGCGTTTGTTTACGTTTGGAACCAGTTTCATACAAGATGATCAGTAGGCTGATTTGACAGCACGTCCCCCCCCCCCCCAGGGGTTTGCTGTGGCTAGCTGCGCGTACGCTGAGTACATAGAAAGAGGATTGATGACGATTCTGAAGCTTTCCTGCAAAAGTAGATGTAAGTAGATGCGAGAAATGAAGAAGATTTTTAGAAGATTGATTCGCTAGTGTGAGATTTTTCGAGCATATAAAATTGAGATTTAGATGTGTCGCCCCCCTCGGGTAAATGGGGGATCTGTCAATAAATGGGTATTTTTTACCCATCTCCTTAAATTGTGTTTTTCGTAAAATGGGTAAAAATACCCATTTCTTCAAATGGAGGATGCTGGTTCGGGGTTATTTGTCCTCGTTTATATAAAAAAAAACTTTCTAATATTTACATTGAAAATAAATGCAGGTGCAGCGAAAAAAATTATTACACGAGATATTACAATACCATATTGGAAAAAAAAAAAACTGTATAGACTTATCCGTAAGTCTCTCCAATAGGTCGTATGAATAAAAGCGTTTGCTTTACTTTTCCCGTAAGAAAAGCACGGGAAAGTAAAGTAAACTGTTTTTATTCATACGGCCCAATGTTTCGGAATCTAACCTTTTCTGGAGATCGTCCATTTTCGCTAAAAAAAAAGCGGACAGAAACTGTTTGCATTCCCAATGGTCGGTGACGGAATAAGACGAAAAAATTTCCAAGTGTTTATTCACCCATTTGTGGGTAAAAAATATACCCATTATGCAATCGTGAACTGATTCCCATTTTTTGACAGCTGCATACATGGTTTGAAAAAGGGTATTTTTTACTCATAAATGAGTTTTCACGAGACACCGTGTGGATGCATCCTTCGCAGTGCATCAGGGCTGCCCGTGTGCTCAGACTACTTTATCGACATTATTTATTTTCTCCACACAGAAAAACAAAACTACCCACCGCTTGGGTTTTTTAAACTCAAATTTGAGTTATTTGACCTCTGTCCGTTTCATTTCCTCTCGCTATTGTTGTCAAAAATAGAACGAAAGATTCGACTCAACCGTCTAGTTCCGTACAAGAAGCCAAAATTGAGTAATATGCGATATACCCAAATTTGAGTTAATTGAACTTAATTTTGGGTAGAAAAAATTGAAAATAACTTAGCGATGGGTAATTTTTTTTGCCGTGCTTAAATGCAAACTACTTTGAGCCGGTTTACCCAAATTTGGCTTATCGTACGGAACATGGGAGATGAGTGAAAAGAACTTAATTTTGGGTTGTTTTGAATTTCTGTGCAAGTTCTCTCCCATCGGAAAACGTCAAACGCGTGTACGCGTAAATCCAAAGAAGAAGATCATCATCCAGCTCGGTGAAAAGAACGATAAGCAATAAACTTTTACAAGAAAGTAAAATTTATCGGAAAAAAGCCCGATTTTGAATACAGCTTCTTTCAGAGCGGTGTTCCTGCACGGTTGAATATCAGTGGTTTCTCTAAAATACGGTGATGATACGGGTTTGAGCAAATCGGGAAAAATCGATTGCTAAAAAAAAAAGAAGATGTGCAAACGTCAATATCTGTTCGCTAGCGGAATCTTCCTGCTGGCCTTTTTAGGCCGCCGAATCATTGTAAATAGCGTTGAATTAACATTCGAGCTTCCTGACAATGCCCGCGAGTGTTTCTTCGAAGAAATTAAGAAAAATCAAACGGCTACGTTAGAATTTCAGGTAGGTTTAGATCTATGGTGGGCTAATGGTGAAGAAGCAAAGGATTACGTGTCACCATGTCGTTATTGCACCCTTTACCCAATACGGCCTTTATTGGCTTTTACGAAAATTGTAACCGCTGTAAATAACATACGGATAAACACATTTCTTCCGTAGGTTGTCACCGGTGGTCAATACGACGTTGATGTACAATTGGTCAGTCCTACTCAGGAAATCCTCTATAAACAAGTCAAAACCCAGTTCGATTCACATCAGTTCACTGCTCAGGTGCGTTGGCAACTTTGTGGTATGATATGGGTTGCTTCCACTCACTTGCTATAAAAAACTGTTTTTCGGGATTATGAAATCACTAGATGTTACAATGATAATCAGTACCTGTAATCCACAAGAAGAGGTTGTAAAATATGTGTCTGACTCACAAAACTTGTCAACTTCGCTTTCAAAGTGCCACAATCAGCGATTTTACGATTCGTGAGCGTTCACTCAGAGTGAGCGCTCACGAATCGTAAAATCGCCGATTGTGGCGCTCTGAAAGCAATATTGAAAGGTTCTATGTGTCAAACACACGCTTTACAATCCCTTCCTGCAACTTACATCTACTAACCATCACTAAAACATCCAGTGACTTCACAATTCCGTAAAACATCCCTTTATAGCAAGTGAGTGGAAGCAACCGGTATCATTTTTAAGGAAAACAATAATTAATTTATGTTGTTGCTTCAGGCTACCGGTATCTATGCCGCCTGCTTCAGCAATGAGTTCTCAACATTTTCGCAAAACTGATCTACATGGATTTCCAAGTGGGTGATGAGCAGCCGCTACCGGGCATTGATGAGCACTCGACGGTGCTAACCCAGCTGGAGTCATCATCGCAGGAAATTCACAAGAGTTAAATGCCATCCTAGACTACCAGACACACCATCGATTACGGGAAGCCCAAGGTAATCATTAAATAATATTAATTGCATTTAGGAGAAGAATGCTTAAGTTAATACGCTGGGTTAGATAGGGTTGATGTTGATCAGGCCTATTCTGAACAGATATCTGCAGTTTGCATCTACCTAAAGTTTTAGCCGAGTGATGCGTTTTTGTGGCTAGCGTATAAAACTATGAATATTAGATACATTCCACGTATCACGTCACGCAGATTTTTTGACCCTTGATTACTCTTTGTATGTAACACGTGTGTTAATAA